ATTAGGCAAATAATCACATGAAATTTTGTATAGAAAAATAATTAGAGGCTCAGAGAGGTTAAGTCACCTCTCACACAGATTGATCTCTGAGTACACAGTACCTAAGATACTGAAACTGATTAATGAATGATAAGAAGACCCCACTGTTTCCTTCTTATTGATGATTTGAATAATGAGGAAGCGAGAATTCTCCTGGCCTAATTCGCATTAAGAGAGCCAAGATAATGAAGCTGTGATTAAATGGCTATTAAACTATTTTTATCAAACAGAGATCAAGCAAGTGTGAGAATCTGGGGACACAGAGTGTAATTGCAATCCTACAAGATGCAGAAAAAATGACTAACATAAGCAGGGCATAGTCCTTTCATAATAGCTCGCATTTAAAAGTCTTTGGGATACCACATGCAGTATTCACTCTGCACTTCTCCCTTCAGGTGGCAGTTAGCATCTCAGAGTCCCTCCTCTCCTCCTTAATTTAGTGGATTTATTGACCCTCTGTGTGCAGTTGGGTGAGTTGAATGCACTGTCTGCCACACCATGTATAACCAGTTGGAAGATCCTTTTGCCAACTGTGCGCAAAGGAAGAAGACCCAAATATTACAAACTGGGTTCAGAATTTTAATCTATTAATTTTAATCTGTAAATCTGCCACCTGAAGGGACAGAACCTATCTTCTTTCAACTATGCCTTTTAAATTATGTCAGACTAGTACAGGTCATAGAGGGACACAGCTGTCCAAAAGAGCAGAGATAAACCTTCTCATTTTGTTGACTCTTCTAAACTATCATTTATTAATGACATGGTAACACTTAGGAATTGTTGCAGATTCTAAATTTTGGGTTTTCCGTATAAATGCATGTGTATCATCTGTCACTGGAAATTGTTTACACCGTGAGTGAGTTTTTGTTGATGTGCCTTCTTTCTTCCTAGAGGGCCCTTAGAGAATAAGGTGTTATAGTCACAGAGACCTTTATTTAGGTCGGAAGAATTGCATTGCGTAAGGAGAACCCAAGGTTGACACCCACCGTGGGAAATGCTGTTTGATAGCCACAGAGCTCCACTGTGGAAATACCCGTTGGCCTGTTTTCTCCCTTTCCTTCCGTCTCTGCTGCCAGCTCCAAGGCTGAGCTTAGTTTGTGTAGCTGTAGATCACTATCTAATTGGTGACCTGCTCTTTCTTCCTCCCCACTCTGCATTTTCTTTTCTTTTTTTCCCAACTCGGATGGAGCTAAGAAGTATATCGTTTTGTAAAATAGTAATTTCAAACAACTAGAAAGCAGTATCAGAGCTGAGTCTTTGAAAGGTTATCTGGCAATGTCAGTGCGGTGACTAATGTGTTTCTATACCCTGTCACCTGTGAACAGACATGTGTGAGTGGGCCAGTGTGCTTCATCTGCGGTGACTTTGATTTATTTGCTCTGTAAATTGGGACCAAAGCAATAATGGGAAGTGACATTAATTGTTTAACAGAGTCCTCTCTGTCACATCCATTGCCTTCTCTGGGGTGTGTGATTGTTGAAACTCATGCTAAACTAATTGAAATTGCCACAGTGAGGGGCAATATCCACTCAACATTACATAAACACAAAGTGTCATCAGCAAATATCAAGTTTTCTTCTCAGTTTCCTATGATTAAAGAAAACACAGATAATTTGAAACAACAACATTTGTTTCCTTTCTTAATTCACTAACAAATTTACTTAAATAAATGTCTTGGAGCACCTCTCTGAGTCACCCACATACAGAGATAATAACAATAGTATTGAATAATCATTTGTAATGGATACAGACTGTAAATAATCATTACAGTCCTATGATAGATACTGGCTGAATAGTAGCCCTTACTACCCACATACTCCAATGCGCGTGCACACACACACACACACACACACACACACACACACGCCGCCATGCTAATCTCCCATCTTACAAATCCTTCCCTCTCATTGTGTTTCCAGTAGAGAGGGGAATTAAAATAGTTGGTGGTTTAATCAGATCTTATAAATTAATTATGACATTATCAAGCTCCAATACTTTTGCCATTGTATTTGTTATACATTCTCCCAGACTTATTAAAGACATTGGAGAAAACTGGTTGGTTTAAGTGTTCTTTGTCATTTTAACTTGATTGGAATTATTGTAGTTTGTTTACATTAGGGATAGAGCTAAGGCGCTATTGTATTATGTGATTGAAAGCAAATAACGGCTGGTAGTATTGCTGGAAAGCCAAACACAAAATTTAAATCATTGTAAACAACATTATCCATTTATTGGTAAATATTCTTAACTCTTTTTCTGGAACTATTTTTGGACATCAATGAAATAAGCCTTTTTTGAAAAACGGGATACTTGGAAAAATGTCCAATTTATTGAAAGTGTGTATATGTGTCTGTGTGTGCATGTGTATTTGATATATTTTCTAAAACTATTAGATAATGTGGAGATAGTTATAATAATGTAAATCTCATGACTTTGAGATGATTTTTAAAATACATATATTTCATTTAAATATAATTGTACTCAGAACAGTTAAATAATCTCAATTTAATTTTTGTATGTGGGGGTATCAAAGAAAGGAGTTACTGAAATCTGTGGATACCAGATTATGATCCTGGGCAGAAAATAAGGAATATTATTTCAGTCTATTTAATATTAGAATTACATATACAGGGTCCTTTCAAAGGCATATTGAAAGAAGGTAGATTGAAGAATCTACTCGAGGGCCTGAGGGTATTCAATACCCTGAGCACTTGAGGGTATTCAATAAGTTTTAGTTATTGACTTGTGCAATTTGGATTTTAACTATTGGTCAGTTTATGGAAGTAGGTGGCACCATTTTGAAGTTAACAGTTACCCCTTCTGATTAGGATTTTCCTCCTGAATTAGAGGTTTGGGTTTTTTTGAGACAGAGTCTCCCTCTGTCACCCACACTGGAGTGCAGTGGCGTGATCTTGGCTCACTGTAACCTCAGCCTCCTGGGTTCAAGCAACTCTCTTGCCTCAGCCTCCCGAGTAGCTGGGATTACAGGTATGTGCCACCACACCTGGCTAATTTTTATATTTTTAATAGAGATGAGGTTTCACCACATTGGCCAGGCTGGTTTTGAACTCCTGGCCTCAAGTGATCTTCCTGCCTTGGCCTCCCAAAGTGCTAGGATTACAGGCATGAGCCACCGTGCCCAGCACCTGCATTAAAGTTTTAAACTTTATACACACCACATTGCACCCAAACTACTTGACTCACAGTCTCAAATCCACGGACGTGAGAGGGATGCATTATGCAAACTAAAAAATGCCAATTAAAGTCCCTGGGGAGTACAAATGGCTCTTCTTGGCCTCTTGAATCCAAAAGAAGTCCTTAGTTTTACTCTTGGATGGAGGCTGATCAGGAATGAAGGAAAACAATTTTTATGTGAAAATAGAATGTATACGTGATAAAGGCCTGCCTAATTTCTCTAGTAATACAATTTGATTTTCTGATTAGCTGTCTTATTCTGTGATTCTTGTAATTTTGTCAGGTCAATTAACTGGAGTTCAGTGCTAGAGAGAAAGGAAGCGTGGGCACTGCTAGCTTCATTAGATGTCAGCAGCTTAGGTGCATTTTGTAATAAAATCTGTGTGGGATAATTTAGCTCATATTGTTAATGTCATAGCGTACAGAACTTTAAAAAGAAGACTTTGGAAGCAGGTCAGATTGGACAAACAATGTGAAGTGCTAAAAGAAGGAAAAGAAAATGGTCCAGAAGATATTGTTGGCAATAAACACAGATCAATGAATTATTTAGCAAGTAATCATTGATTAGCTATGCCATGTGCCCAGTGATGGTACTGGTTGTCCACGTGCATAGAATATAACACATTGCCTTGTTAACAAGGTACATGTTTGGAAGTCTTTGAACGTTTTTTACAGAGTACTGAAATAAATATTATATTTTATAATGAATTGTTTACAGGTTCTTCCCTTCCACAGTAGTGTTTATTGGAGGGGCAGACTTTTGTCTTGTTTCTCTTTGTATCTCTCATACTTCAGATGTCCCTGGCACAGAGTAGATGTTCAAAAATGTTTGTTAAGTGAATGATTGAAGATTAGCTTTCTAAGAGTGTGTTGGTGGGAATGAGTCAAAAACAAGGTAGGATATATTTGCAGGAGCCCCTATTAGAAATAATAGTGCACTGGAATAGTGCCCCGGCCACAAGAAATAAATGCATTTAGTAAACATTACAAAGTAAGACTTCATTCAGTGACTGATCAGAGAAAGAAGAGTCAAAATAGGTCCAGAGTTTGAGTCTGAAGAATTGTTACCCGAACTAAAGAAGTCAAAAGAAATAGCAGTTTTGTTGTGAAAGTTGTAGAGTTTGGGTTTTGGGGATGAGGGAGCTATTATGAAGTAGCAGTGTCCAGTAGGCAGTTCGAGATTTATGACTAAAGTTGGGAGAGATATCAGGGAGCAAAATAAATAAATGATTTTGGAGTGTTCAGTGATGAGATTATAATTGAAACCATGAAAGTGTATAGTTGCTCTCAGTATAGTTCCACTTTCTGGTGTCATTCAAATAGAGAGCTGTCTAGACAGTTTGGGCGGTATGCTGTATAGGAGATTCAAACACTATATCTGAAAATGAAATTGATGATGGTTAAAATTCTCTCAAGCTCCAAGATTCTCGCAATCTTTTCTTTTAGTCAGGGAAAGAAAACGTGAGCAAGTGGAAAACACTTCTATGACCAAGAAGAATTGTATGCAGCAGTTTTAGCGCTGACATAACAAATTGATAAACTGGGCAGCTCAACCATCAGAGATTAGTGCAGTAGAAGTATTCATTAATTGTGTCATTTGGACCAAAACATGAATTTGGAGTTTGAGAAAGATATGATGTTTGTGTTCTGGAATGGGCATTCTAGATTTCACATATGGTTCACTCATTTGGTCAAACATGTTGATGCATAGTGTTACCTGCCTCCCAGTGTCAACTCACATCTTCTGGTTTTTTCTGTTTCTGCAGAAGATAGATGAAGAGAATGAGGCAAACTTGCTAGCAGTCCTCACAGAGACACTGGACAGTCTCCCTGTGGATGAAGACGGATTGCCCTCATTTGATGCGCTGACAGATGGAGACGTGACCACTGACAATGAGGCTAGTCCTTCCTCCATGCCTGACGGCACCCCTCCACCCCAGGAGGCAGAAGAGCCGTCTCTAGTAAGAACCCTTCCTACTGTTTAGCAGGAATTGGAGTTGCCTCTGGCTACCCGCTGCATGGGTATGATGTAGTCACAATAAGGTTTGGATTTTTTCATTTAGAATGATGCCAAAGCAATCCCCAAGCACACTCAGAGTTGCAAATTGTGCGATTCTCTGTTTAAAAATGTTGATAATACACATCTTCATGTAATCTTATTGCAGTTGTTTTCTTTACTATCTTTTCCTGTTATGTGTATTTTTCTTAGTATTATTTATGTTCATGATGAAAACTTAGAAAATGTTGACAACTAAAAAGAAAAAACTAAAAATTTCACCTGTGATTTCAAATAACCTCTCATATAAAAATGATTGCAATATTCTTTTAAGATATATCATGAACATATTGGTTCAAATTCAAATATATGCATAATTTGTAATGGTTGCATAGTGTTTTATTGTATGGAAATATTATAATTTATTTTGCAATCTTTTATGGGTGGATATTTAGTTTTTTCTTCTATTTTTTACTATTTTAAATTGTATAATAATTGACATATTTGCATTTTTATTCCTATACATACAATCCTAGAGTTAGAATTGGTAGATCAACAAATATGCAATGTTTTAAGACTTTGGATCCGTATTTCTTATGAAGACTGAAAAACTATAGCATGTTTGCCACCCAAGTTACTTAAATTTATGGTAGACAATGAAGACTGAATTTGTTGGCAATGAAGAGAGAATTTTCCTTTCAATGCAGTGCTTGACCAGAGTTTTATTAGTTCTAAGACACAGTTTACCTTCTCATCTGTGGTAGCCATTTGTCATTTGCTGTAAGTCTGATATAAGGGCATGCTGTGTAAATTATGGGATGCCATGATCCTCCAGACTCTAATAGTGTGTTTCACATGCCATTTGGAGGTTGTTACTCTCCTATCACTAAGTTTTTAAATGTTAAAAATACTCTATGCAAATACATGGAGGCCATACTTAGAGTCCATTGGATTTTGAGGTTTCTGACATAGAGAATATCTCATAAGTAATTGTTATTTATTCTCCAATTTCTCCATTTGTTAGTGTCATTGGCTTTGCTCCCTAGTACCCTGATTCCTTTCCATTGATATCAGATTGTTTTCATCTATTCAATTTGTTCATTTGGGAAGAGTAGCTGACTCAGAGACATACTGTATGTCAGGACAAGGAAGTCCTTGAGGGTCATCCAGTGAAATGAAGAAACAGAGGTCAGGAGACAGCAAATGCTTTGCCTGTGTCAGCACCCACGTCTCCTGATCCACAGGCCAGGACTCTACTTACAAATCCTTTTTTTCTTTTCTAGAATCAGTGATAGTCATTCTTTTATTTCAGGCATTCTTTGAATCAGTAATTTCATATACTAGGTTATGAAACATGGTTCAAAGCATCATAAAATCTTTCATTTGTTGCCAGTTGACTTATTTGGGTTTTTGAAAAGAAAATGTGTATCTATTCTCCCCCAACCCCCACACTACACTCCCATGTCTTCATTCAGCAAGGCAGCTTTTCTCACCTAGGAGTGATTTGGAAATTATTTTTGAAAGATGTTTTTTGCATTATTTGTTAAAAAAATATGTAGATCACACCAAGTCCAATTTATTCAGTAATCCCTTATGGCTGGAAAATTTGAGATTTTCCTTCTATTTTTCACTATTATTACTTGTATAATAATTGGCATATTTGCATTTTTGTTCTTATGCATACAATTCTAGAAATTGAATTGGAAGGAAAAAGGAAATATTTTCACAGTTGGTAGTATAATGTCAAACTTTTTTCTACTCTTTAAATATCATATTTCCTGTAGCACTATTGCGCTAAGGTGTGACATAAATAAAATGACAGAATTAACTTTTATAATTACAATAAATTACATTTAAAATTTCAATAACTTATTCCAATGCTTAAAAGATGCATAACTTTACTTGCTTTTCCCTTTTCCTGATAATGTTTCTAGCTTAAGAAGCTCTTACTGGCACCGGCCAACACTCAGCTAAGTTATAATGAATGCAGTGGTCTCAGTACCCAGAACCATGCAAATCACAATCACAGGATCAGAACAAACCCTGCAATTGTTAAGGTACAAATGTAAATTTTTTAATACGGGGGGAAGTACCAAAGGATTTTGGCTTGAAGTTGTAAAACAAATAAGTTCGTAGGTATTAATTCAGCTGGGACCCCGAAGCTGCCTCATAATGGTGAAATCCATGATGAATGGGATTCCGTAAACAGCGCTTGAGCTACTTTAAACTAGGCAGAGTTCGTTTACGCATTGTCTTTGGGTGTTTGGAATGGAAGTGCCACTGTCGGTTAGTTCTTGCCCACTTTATTGTTACCTGCAGCATTGTGGGCTACAGTAAAATCTGCTGATAAGCTGGTATTATCTATGAGTGGCTTTAAGATGCAGGATTGCTGTTTTGCTAGCTGTCTAACCTGAGGAAGATTGCATTTGGAATCACCACAAAACATCTATCTCTGCCATTAATTGGATGGAATGCTGGCAATGCCAGAATTCGGCTAGCGGGCTGTATTAAACATTGTTTGTCTTGCCATTCACTGTGAGTGAAAACGGAGCATTAAGGGGTACTTAAGAGAGTTGTGAGTACTGGGCGTCAGCAATCAGTGGCAAATTAAGGTTTAAACCAGCTTATTTTTTTTTGTATTCACAGTAAAGGCGCTGTAGGGTCTTGTTAGTTACATGTTGCTGAGTAGGAACATTGAAATGTAGGAGAAATAAAACAAAAAGCTGCATAAATGTCATTTAGGAATTTTAAATGTAATTTTCTTCCCTTGTTCTGCAAACAATTATTCACAGCTCATAGATCTAGTACACTTAGACTGAACACTTCATTGAAAAATCCCATCTCTTCAGAAAACCTATATCCATTCTGATAAGGTTCAGTTCACTAATTTTAGTTTTCTTTATGCCTTGTTTTTAAGACTGAGAATTCATGGAGCAATAAAGCGAAGAGTATTTGTCAACAGCAAAAGCCACAAAGACGTCCCTGCTCGGAGCTTCTCAAATATCTGACCACAAACGATGACCCTCCTCACACCAAACCCACAGAGAACAGAAACAGCAGCAGAGACAAATGCACCTCCAAAAAGAAGTCCCACACACAATCGCAGTCTCAACATTTACAAGGTAGGCTGGGGACCAAAACAAGCTGTTGGTGAGGGCACTGGAAGCAAAGAAAGCACACGTAAGGTCGGAGAACACACCAACTTCTTGCTTCCATCCCATCGGTGTCACTCTGTGGAAAGAGAATTCAGCACTTATTATAGAGCGGGGGAAGAAACCTTTCTTTGGACACAGGTTAAACATATTCTATTCAGCTGCTAGGCCGTCTAATTCACAAGCACTGAAAGACTCCTGAAATGTTAGCTAGGTGGGGAGGAATTGCAACATCACATGAGGTTTATATGAATCTCTGAATTGCTGAGATAATTGAGGTTATGAACAAGCTTGGCTAACCAATTCATTATAGAGCTTTTATTTTTTCCCTTCCAGTAATGGAAAAAATGAGGCATCAGTGATTTGTTATATACACCTTAAGAAGTGGTAAATAGTGTTTATGCAGCCTGTCTTGATTACTAAGTACATTCCTTTTCTAATTCTTTTTCTTCTTTCTTCTTCTCTCCTCCTCCTCCTCCTCTTCTTCTCTTCCTCTCCTCCTCCTCCTCCTTCTTCCTTCTTCTTCTTTTTTCTCCTTCTTTCTCCTTCTCCTTCACCTCCTGCTCCTCCCCTTCCTCTTCTTCTTTCTCTTCCACTCCTTCTCCCCCTACTCTTCTACAACCACATGCTATGCTCGTGGATTTTATTCTGTAAATAAAGATTGGAAAATTCCTGATTGTTTTCTTTCAATTTAAGAAAGTGCCTAGATTAAACTAAACATCTGGGTTGATTTTTATTATCACCATATACTGCTAGAGGAGGCTGATGTTTCTGAGGCAGATCCTGGTGATTTGGGGAAAACCTGTCTTGGCAGAGATACAATTTTCTGTCTTTTAGGCTCCTCCTTCTCAAAACGTTGTAGTCGTAGAAGCCCAAAGACCCCTTGAAATGGGCAGTTGATTTAAAACATGCCAGCTTCTACTTTAACCTTGTTGGTAGAAGTAGACATATTATAACATACCAATTGTAAGCATACACCTCTTTTTGTTTCACTTTCATTTTCCCAACTTTTCCTTTTAACTGCAGAGTGGTAGGCAGTGATCTCTGCTTGGAACCATGATTCATTCGTGTAGGTATGCTGTCATTGCTACTGATTCAACACGGATTTTTTTCCCAGTGTTTTGAATTTTCTTTCCTCCTCTCTACCTCGGTATTAGCCCAGGATTTTCGGGAGCCTTCCTTTAATATTTTAAATTGACTTTCCATGAGGCTTTCCCTGGTAGATATCTCAAATCCACTACCCATCACTTTCTGTCAGTTTGGGAAAATATATTTAGTGAAATGGACTGCATTCTCATTGATCCAGCTGGATCTTCCTCATAAGCACTACAACAGTTTTTCCTGGAGCAGAACCATAGTGCGATAGGCCTCGTTGGTCATGAAGGCCTCAGGTGAGGGGAAGCAGATGAGCTCGCTCTAGTGAGTGAACAAATGAATTTACTGGGCTACTCCTCACCCTGTCCTGGTCATGCATGTATTTTCTGGGGCCAAATTTAAAGTCCTTGTAATATGTGACCCAGCCTGGCAGCACATGTTTTAAAGGTTTTTTTTTTTTTCTGTTTTTATTTTTCTTTTAGTAAACTTTTACAAATCATGACAATGAAGAGTTAAATAGGCCTTTGGAGGAAATTTTCTTTAGATGAGACTGGCTGTATATGGTATATATCTGTGGCAAGGCACAAAAGACTCACCCCAGACCAAAGTCTGTTGACAAACAGACAAAATCCTTTAGTTATGAAAGGCCTAAAAGAAATGAAACATGGCTGACGAGTAAGAACTAATACATGCTCAACTTCAGTAATTATTTGAATTATTATTTAAAATCAAAATGTGGAAAATATGTGAACAATTAGAGATAACTAGGAGGATCGGTTGAAATTATCTTTCTTAAGGTGTTGTAATTTTTTCTCACTGAACTTCGTGTATGCCTTCCGTAAAACATTTTGGAGGCAGGTTCTTTTCATTTCCTTAGCATGATCGTCTAGCCATGGTTGTGTGTTGATGTCTCATTTATTTGTCCATTTATTCATGCATTCATCCAAATACCACAATCTACATGAAAAAGACACATTCCTGACTTCAAGGATCCTACTAGTCTCTGGTCTACCAGTCACTGGAACAGGGTGAATTAAACTCTCAATAAATCAAATCAATACTCCTCTAATGGTAGCATTAGAGAGTCTGGGTTTATTCAGGGATCAGATTCTGTATGTGGTTTGGGGACTGTCCCCTTCCTATGGCTCTCATTTCCTGTTTGCTTTTGGTCTCATAATATGACTGTTGCCATTTCCTCTCCTTTCATTGACTTTGGCCTTACCTGTACCCAACAATCAGAATCTGAGAGTCTTTCTTTGAGCATTTCAAATAGCCTATACTACCTCTTGAAAACCAGAATTTCAGTGACTGATTTTTAATGTACATTTATTATGTCACATAGCACATGGTTAATATCTGGTTATATTTTCTGTGGAATTTGTATGAATTATCCTAATTATTAGTTGAGTATCATAAAACTTGGTAAAGTTTCTTCATAAGTGGATTCTTTTTGAAAGACTTGTTATATTACACATACTCAAAAATTAATGTAAAATCAGCTCATTTACCTGTATAAATGAAAAACTGAATCAATCAGTGTATCTAATTTGTTGAAGATATCATGAGCTTCATATTTCTGGATGTACATTGAAAGATGATATACTATTCAACTGTGTAAATCTAAATCTATAAATTAAATATGTAAATACTATTTATCCAAGTAAAGTTTCTAATTTCAGGTTATTTTGGACATGAATAATATTTTCACATTTCAAAAAATTAATTGCTGGGGCTGATTAATTTACTTTAAAGTCTGTTGAATGCAATTTCTTTTGACAATAGGAGAAAGGAAACAGAATCTTGGCCAACTCTGTGAGTAACTATTTTATGGCCCTGAAAATACCACTTAGTATTGTTGGGTCTCAGTTTCTTCAGCCTTAAGATAAGAAACTATTCTAAACACCTTTTTGGTTTTGACACTATGATTTCCATTACATAAATAACTACCACTTGACCTTTTGAAAGTAATTATTTTAATGAGAAAAAATTGACATAAACCTACATACACATAAGCATATGCTTATAGATAAGCATAGATATACGTAATACATGAATGTATAGCCTAAGTATGCCTCTCATCATATTTGCCCCTCCTTCTGTTCAAAATACAAGATTGCCATGGAGAAGCAATTGAAATTTTGGGTGAGAAGATTCTTCACCCTTCATTATTGGGAAATGCCGCCTGTAGGAGGTAAGATTCAGGAAAGCATAAAAGGAGGTAGTTAGCATCTTTGCAAATCTATACACCTTTCAACTGATAAACATGGTATCTTACTTTAGTTGTCTATCAGATTTACAGATCTGAACCCCTTCTAAACCGTCTGGGTCAATGCCCACAATTTGCCATCATCTCTCAATTAATTTTCAGTGAGTGGAATAGTTACTGCATGAGCTTTGGCCTCATAGAAATAACCTATTATCAGGGCTAGATATAAAATTATACATTTTAGGAGTAAAATCAACTGAATATTCATAACGTTCTGTCGCCTTGTAGTTCCTCTGCTGCTTTCTTATCTAAACAAACCGTGTACTGTATTCCAAATTAAAACGGTAAACATTATTTTTCTCTGATGGTATGATGCAAATTTTGTATCTGTAACAGGGAGGGTTCATTTTTGGAAAAATTCTGTTTTCGTATGTGTTTTTGAATGGTAGTTTACTGATGCAAATGCTGTTTGGAATCTGTTTTAGCATAATGGACTTTTGTCTGACTTTGATTCAATATTCAGAGAATTCCTTAGTTTAGGCTTTCAGTTTTCTGGTTGTTTTTCCAACTTGACTGTTGTGGAAAGAAAAGAAATCTAAAAGACACTCAATATTACATAATTAGTTTTTTTTTTTTTTCTTTAGCCAAACCAACAACTTTATCTCTTCCTCTGACCCCAGAGTCACCAAAGTAAGTATTAAGAAACGTAACCATTTTCAGAAAGGGAAGGGGGTTCTAATACATTTGGCTACAGCAACTCCATTTCAGTTTGTTTTTATAAATGTGCCATATCTTCCAGTGACCCCAAGGGTTCCCCATTTGAGAACAAGACTATTGAACGCACCTTAAGTGTGGAACTCTCTGGAACTGCAGGTAAGCCTTATATTTCACTTGGAACTTGTGTGTTTGTGTGTGTGTGTGTATGTGTGTGTGTGTGGTGTGTGTGTAATAAGATAATAGAGTGTACTGTCTATGTGATTAATGAAATTAACAAAGAATACAAAATTGGATAAGAAGTTATCTGTAAATATTTCCAGTTGCTTATTTTCTAAAAAAAATAATAAAAAATACTGAAGCACTTTAAAAACTTAGACTAACTGAAGAGCTCTTAGGCAAACTTCTGAGTTGGTTGCAAATGGTGCCTTTGCACTGAGTGCTTTAAGTTTGGGTACTTGAACCCCACCAAAAAGTGAATCGTGGGATGTTTAAACAAGAAATTCTTTGGGTCTGACCGTTGCTGATAAGATTAAAGGAACAGTACATTAAACAAGATGCTTTCAACCAGAACTATGGTGCCTACATCCACCGTGGTCATTGTTGCTACGTTTAATTTCACACTTTGAGTTTGCTAAATTACCTTCTTATGAAAGGCCTAATGCATGATTGTATGACTTGGTCAAGCAGTAGAGTAGTTAATTTCATGGTGTAGATAGATAGTATATGTGTGTGCAGACTTGCACATATGTACATATATACATATCTTTATAGGCATGCACACTTAGACACACAAATCCTTACTTATAAGCATATACTTAACATCATTTCTTAAATACATACATGACACTATTTCTTAAATACATCATAACTTACATATATGTTTAGAAGTAGCTTTTGTGTGTATATATATTATATGCGGTAGAGGCCTTCTTATCTGACCAGTGAGGACCAGCAATTGGTGGGTTTGTTTAAAAAGTTGATTCAAGCATATACTGTTTTATTTTACCTTTGCTTAAAACATAAAAATATACATTCAAATATTACAGTTTTGGTAGAAGATGGAGATCTTTACCTTGAGCTTATGTTTGCTATTTGGGGGTCTATCTATTCATCTTTCTTGTATAAACCATACTAATATATTATTATACAATACATATTATAGATGGTAGCCACTTTTTATTGCTTGCTCCTTGAAGGTCAAGATTAGAGACATTGGTATGGTAGTCTGAATTCTTCTAGATTTTTATAATTTTTCCAATAATTTCCAATTCCACCCATCCACAACTAATTTGATAACCCTTATTTTAGCAATGACCTTTTTTGAGTTATTTTTTACAGGAATATTTTTCTACACTCACATTTCATTCATTTACAGGAGATTTTACCATCTTACATAATTTCAATCACCAGTACAATGCACATTAACTATTTAGTCTATTGGGGTACTGAGACACACTGATAAGTAGCATGAAAGCAAATATTATTTATTGGATATGTTCCACCACCTTCTAACAAAGGTAGGCCCAGAAGGCAGTTTTTAGTTCGTTGAGTGTGATTATAATAGCTGTACAGATATAAATTGGGGAAGCTGAAGTAAAGCCCAATTGCATTATGTAAGAGAAAGGATTTAGAGCTTTGGATAGCAGGGAGATGAGGACTTGAAAGATGCTGAATGAGGCTGGAAGGTAAAGTTTGGAACCTTCCTGGAGAATAATGTAAAGAGGAGATGGAGGGAGATTTGTTTTTTCTCTAGAGATATTGTGGGCTTGAAATGCAATGCAACATGTAATGTCTACAATTGTCATCTCCTCTAAAAACCTTCAGCAAAATTGGTCACTTAGTAGTGTTTGAAGATTGTGACAAACACTGATTGTACCTAGAAAGAATCACAAAGGGAGAAAAAGAGTTGTCAAAGGGAAAACACGGTAGCACAGCTTCAAGTTTAAATACATTGATTGACCAAAAGATATTTTAAAAATGATAAAGGCAGTTAAAGGACTGACAGAAATACTTAGGCGATAGTATCATCCTAGTGAATGACAGAGGTGATCCATGGAAAGGAATGTGGAGGAAATTGAGCTCTCCATAGGCTAACCTGACTTGGAGAGCCTTCAGGGAAAACAACAACAACAAAATGCACAGATTTTGAAGCACAGGGGTGGAATGGAGAGAAGATGTTGATGGAGCAGAAGCAAGAAAGCAGGAAACCAAAGGGATGCTCAAATGACAATGAATTTGGCAAGGACTGTAAAATCAATAAGGAGCTATAAGATGGCACACACACTTTCCCTCCTGGATCTTTTGATTGCTAAGACTTTTTTCTACATCCTTGACCTTTTCTACGCCTCAGTTTCCTCCATTTTAAAGTCATATTCATAACTACTGATAAAACTGTCAACTCAAAAGACTAGAATATAGGTTGAAAAATAAAACTGCCAGTATGCAATCATTTTTGACACACAAAAATGGAATTTTATGTGGTTTGATCTGAAGTAAAACAGTTTATAAGCAGCAAAGCTTCAATTAAAAGTAGTATATCATGATTTTAAAGAGCAGACGGCATAGCTTGGTGAAGTTTACAAAACCTTGGCTTGGTTGTTGGACAAACCCAAGTTTAAATTCTGAATGTCCTCCCATCTAGTGTGTGGCCTTGGTCCATTTACTTAACCTCTGAAAGACTAGGATTCTTATGCGTGATATGAAGATGATCATAATACCTACATCTCATTGGGTCAGTGTGAGGATTAAATGAGATAAAACATGAGTGCCCCCTGATTATATAAGTGCTCAATAAATATTAGATATTTAATTACTAATTCTGATTAATCATTTGCAGTGGTCATTGTACCTTGCTTCTTATCTTTTCAACTTTTGACTGTCTTCACCTCTTCCCTTTTATTGCCCTTGCCGTGTATCCTCTTTGGCAATCTCATATATGAAGTTATTTATTCTTTTTCTGTGCTTCCCCAACCTCCCACTGTTTTCACGTCAAATTGAACAAATACTGCTTTTGGTGTAAATATGGAATTTACCAAATCACGGTAGAAAACTCACTGATTTGAGATTCTCAGCAACAGCTACTTCTATGCCTACAATTTCTGGCAATTAGGCACTCCTTAAACAGGCACTTTACATACAGTATCTTCCTTACTCTCTGCCCATTTCATTGTTGAGGAAAGATTTATACGTTGATACAAGCTATATGATAGATCCTGGGTTCAAAGCAGGTCTGCCCGAAGAGAAATTATGTCTCTTTCCTGAAGTCTGAATTTTAAAGATAGTAATTGACATATGTTATGTTAAGTAGGCTTCACTGCACTTGCCAAGTGTCATTGATTGGTACTGTCTGCCAGGAGCATTGTGTTGAGAAAGGTTCTAAGGCCAAGTCTGTGCTCACAGGGAATGTCATGATCAATTAGTGATGTCTGCCACAGGTGCAGCAGGTGGGTGGCAAGGATAGAAACAGCATTCATATTGGTAGTTTGTTGATCCTTGGTCTACAGACTTAATCGGTTTGATTGCAGCAGAAGTGACCCAAGCTTTGGCTCAGGCCTTCTGGTGTCTTCTTTTTCTTTACTCTCACAAATTTTAGTGAAATTTTCCAAATGTTTAAGTGGAAATGTAAAGAGTCAACAAAATTCTAAGACCTCCAGAATAATGCCTCTGCCCCATCTGCAGTGTCTTTGGGAAACAGGAGGGATGAGATAGGAAGTTTGCTTTATTAGGTATTGCCAGCTGGTCTGACTTCTTTGTGATTGTCCTAAACTAGCTCATTTTGGCTGATAAAAAAACTCTTCTCTTTTACAGGTGTAAAATCTAATTTGATTTCAAAATAGCTGTTAGTAAAGCAAGATGAGAGAAAAGAGAATGATCTTTTGGCAGAAGGCATTTAAATCTATTGCATATGGAGATTTTCAGAGTGCTACACTTTTTTGTTTCTGAAATGGGAATGGCAAAGCAGTGTCAGCTCAACAAGGTGACGGTTTTAACCACAGACACGAAGGAATTTGGGTAGGGACCAAAGTGACTGACCCCAAAATTTTATGTATATGTATATATAGTTTTTATTTGTTATTACTGTAAACATTGTAACAGCAGAACTATTTTATAACTGATAAAGAAAATGAGAAGAGCAAAAAATATAATCAGATGTCATCACCCTAAAACAAGTAGGACTTCATAATTTTTTTTCTCCATTGATATATGTTTTTCCACATTATTTTCATCAGAGGGGACATGTGATTTGATGTTATTTATTTTTTACTTCATTTTTTCTGTAGGCTTTAATCAGCAGTCATTCCAAGTGTACTTTAGTAGACTCACCATAAAAACAACAACAAAACACTCATTAACCCATCTGTAACTACCACTTTTATGTTGAATTTTACATTGCCTTTTTGGACTCTCCATTTAAAAGTTCATTTTGCTGGAAAAAATGTATTGACAAACAGCATAAATATTGACAAACGGCTGTAGCCTTTTGGCGTATATACTTCTTGTGTATGTGACATATCTTTGGGAAAGTAGATCAAAGTAAAATATCGGTAGTTGTCGGTAGTTTTAAAAGGAAAACCATAGCATCACAGAACTGGAAGGTGATTTTGACAGGTCACAGAATCTATTCCTGTGCTTCAAGAATCTAAGAAAGGGAGACCCAACAAATTCTCTTTACAGCCCATTCCGGTGCTTGCCAACTCTTACTGTCAGAAATTTCTTCCATAGTTCAACCATATTCTTCATTTTCTATTTTTAATCTCATTCTTTTTGACCCAGTGTCTATAATGACAGTTCCTTTGTTCCTAATTTTTCTTTTCTGGAAATGGTACCATCCTATTTCTTGTAAGCCAAGTATAGCAAAGGAATTTTCTCTCCCACATCAGCTTTGGGGTTTGGCAATAGCCACCTGAAATGCCAGGTTCCCCTTACTCATCCCCTCTCCCAGCTCTCTGGGGAATTTACACAGGGGTCAATTAATGATATCTTCATCTTCCATGAGCAAGAGTTGGGGAATTAGGCATATGTCATAGGAATGTTCTGAAGCTTTTCTCCAAGGCCAGTTTGTTCCCCAGTAACCAGGGGTGATAGGAGAAATACTTAAAATGTACTGAAGGCAGGCCACTTCCAAATGGACTGAAGCCAGCCAGAGGACTAGCGGGGTCTGTTGGAGAACCTTCTGTGCCAAGTGGGAGCACTTCTGTTGCTGGGTCTTGTGGAGCGCCATTGAGTCCTGGGGAAGTAGGTGCAGATGGAGAGAACGCTAGAGCAGCTTTTATCAACTGAATATTTTAACAACTGCTTTAGAGGTAACGGTTGGTACTCAGTGAATATCAGCTTTCCCTCTGCACTCTTGACACCCACTCCAAATTCGTGAGGCCTGAAATATGTGAGTAGGACAAGTCACACACCTCTCTGTGCTCCGTTTTCCTATTTTGGTGTGTTTTAAAGCAACTTAGAATCTCATCTCCTGATTTTTTTGTTTGTTTGTTTCTTAAGTACCTGAATTGGCGTGCAACATATGCAAAATCCCACTGTTAAACGAACTTGAAAGTAAGTTGCAGATTTTGCTGTAGATTCTGCAAAATGTTATAAACTACTAAAAAAAAAAAAAGTCATTGGTGAATAGCACAGCACAAGAAAGAGCCAGGGACTCACCATTTATCAGAGTCATTCAATTAAACAAACCCAAAAGAAAACTCCTCCAAGAAAATCGTTTCATAGCGATAATGAAAAACAAAACAAAACTTGTCTGCCTTTTTTTTTTTTTAATAAAAGGACTGTTTAAAAAGATGACTGTAGAGTATGTACCACTTCTCCCAGATTTGCTGTGCAGAAGTGCGTAAGTGTGAGTGATGTAGAGGTGCTTGTTTATTATGGAGCACATTTCAATGCAGTAATCATAAATATTGCTAAGGTTGTGCTCTGTTGAAATATGACCTACATACTCTTGATTGTTTGTGTTATGTGATTTGTCTGACACCCATTACATTCTGGGTAATAGCAGCCATTTGTTGCTCTGCACAGCAGGCTCTTTTGACAAAAGAAAATAGGCGGCAATAAAAAAGCTATAGTCTGAATTACATTCTGCACCGAGCTGCACTGCTGAGAGTTTGTGCAAGTGTGTTAACAATGCTCGGAACTGCCTCTTGTCAGCCTTCAGCCTGTAATGGCCATCTGTCCTCACATAAATCTGTCAAAACCTGCTAAGTTCAAGAGAGAGCACGGAATATACCTTGTACTGTCAACACCAAAATGTACACATTCCCCAGAAAATCAACACGCAGGAAATAATCCAGAGGTTATGGGAGGCATTAGCACTGTTGATTTGGGCTTGTGGCATGAAATCGAGAGTCCAGAGATTAGTGGGAAGATGAGCAAAGGTAGTGGCATCAAGGGAGTGAGCACCGACCTCCCTCTTACTTCAGGGGGAGGGTTTTGGGTAGCAGAGGTGAGGCTAGAGAAATAACAACTAGTTCAGAGGCAGCAAGGGGTTGCCTGTCTCATCAGCAGCTCTGAAAAGTTTAACACTATGTGAAAAGAAAACGTACTCTTTGCACTTTTGTTTTATTTTGTTTGGCTTTGGGTCTCAACTGTATCTGGAGATAGGCTTTCCAATAGGGAGGCACCTGGTGATAGGAAGTCTTGTCGTCCGTGAGATTTCTCAATCTTGCTTTGAGATATTCTCTGGTTGGAGATGTTTCAGTAAACAATGAAGGCTTTAGGGCATTAGCCAAATTATTTTTCTCTCTCCATCTACTCATTAATCCTGAAATATCTTCCATTCAATAAGCAAGCATTACTTACTTGCTTCAACAAATGGTGCCAACAGAAATGTACAGCCCTGATATTTTTACTCACGGGGCATGTTTGATGGTCTCTGGGTGTTTCCATCAATTTTAAGCGTATATGCAGAAAAATATACTCATGTCAAATTTTAAAGAAGCGCCTTTTTATTAAAATCGATTGTGAAGTCGCTGGAGGCTGAGTCCCTGAAATAGCAGCATCTGATGTCATATCCAGCACATAGTAGGTGTTCAACGAAGGTCTGTTCAATGGCCACAGGCCATAATGTGTGACAGAGGTAAAAGGTTTTGTTTTTAACTCAAAGAAAGTACAATCAAGGTGTCGCCACTCCCCAGAGCAACTTGAGAACCAGTTATTTAAGCGATAATGAGCTTAGGTACTAGGACAAGGGTTTCGAATTTTCAAGACACAGAAGGATTTCTGTATCTGAAATCTCTAGATACCTAAGCTATTTTTAGAACCAGTCTCTCTTTAATAGTGGCCTAATTTGGTGTTCCTGAAGTTTAAGGTTTCTTTTTATAAATCTAAAATGTCTGTCAAAATATGTATACCTGAGAGTACAAAGTGGCATGCTGCAGACACGCTAGGAGGGCTGGGGTTCTCCAGATGTGGTCTGTGAAGCATCTAATTACAAATGTTTACCCAGTATCCCAAGTGATTCTTGGACTGCTGAAATGTGAGACCCACTACTAAAGAAGAATCTAGAAAAATTAAAATTAGTAGAAAATAATAATGCAACAAATGCGCCCAAGCCACACCCTGCAAAGAGCTTATAATCGATTTGGAAAGACAAGACATAATTCACATTCAAAAAGAGATAAGCAAAAATGTATAGTAATATGTGATTGGTATCAAGAGAGGGATCCTGACAATAAATTACTAAAGAAGTAAAAACTACCCTAACTTGGGGTGATTATGCAAAGATTTACAGAGTTGAATGTGAGGATGTTGAATGCCATTTCCTCCAATTCAAGGGCTATGTCGTTGGACGTGTTTGATGGGTATTTACTCAGCAAAGAGAGATTATTTGTCATTATTTCTTTAAGTATCTTAGGCTCCTAGGAGGAATATTTGAGAGTGTGCTTTTTTTTTTTTTTTTTTTTTTTTTTTTTTTTTTTTTTTTTTGCTGGGAATTGCAAGTGGTAATTGAAGGTAGCATGTAGAAGCAATCGGTATGCATGAATACGGCAGTACAATAGGTAAATAAAACAAGTGAAAACAGAGAGAAAAGAGAAGATCGACCAAATAGGAATTTCTTAGATTGAGTAAAAGACATACTCATCTATGAGAGAGGAAACAAGAGTTGATTGTGCCTCAGTGGCACCGATGTTTCATTCAGTCATATAAGTCACTCCCTTTGCTACAGCAAAGAGCCATCCAAGAGAAGCTGCCAACAAAGGGAAGCCTTTTTGAGACTCAGGTGTGACCATGAACGGAGTACAGTGTCCCATTCGCTTTGTGCTTCCATTTCTTTATCTTTCTGAACTTTTCTGGGTTGGAACTCCAAAGTCAAACCACCTTACATTTGTATACCTTTTCTTCTCTCAGGGAGAATTAGCTTTGAATAATAAAAATTGCCAAATATTGGTATAAAATATTTCACTTTAGAGAAAACATTCATTCTTTCCATTTCTTTATTATAAAGTAGGAGAGTGAGGCAGCATCTTCCTGTTCATATCAAAATTTCATGTGGCTTTTTGTGACCTACGTGGCTCTTGGTATATATGTGTGTGTGTGTGCGTGTGTGTGTGCGTGCGTGCATGTGTGCCTGTGTTTTCTTATTTTTTTTTCCAGCAAGGTAGCATTTTTTTCCTTGAAACTTGCCTTAAATCTAACCCCATACTTGTTAGCAGACTTGAAGTTCTTTTTGCTGAATAGTGTTCACCCCGCCTCCTAAATAGAAAGTGTATTGTAAACTAAAATGCTCCCTTGTAAGCAGAAAGTCATTTGAACTCCAGCCTGCCCTTCTTCAAAGTTCCTTGGACTCTGGAGCCACTTGACAATGATTCTTCCTCGGCACAAAGGGATGAGTAGGACTTATTCAGGGGGGAAACTCAACAGAGGGAACTACTATGCTTCACGGACTCTCCCACAGTGGTTTCTGATGAAATGTTCTGCCCTCCTATAGAAAAGCAGAAGGAGCAACAATTGATGGCTGTTCCTCTTTCTTCCTTTTTATTTATTTAATTAGTTAGCTGCTGAAGCTTGGCTGAGTTTCAGTCCCTCGGTCTCATAACCCTCCCTTATGTTGTGCTCTATATACAATGGTCGGTTGGCACTGTGATATTTAGTGTTACTGTTCACTTAGGTTTCTGTTGCAGAACCATATTTTAGACAGAATGTATTAGTTATGCTTACAAGAATGTATTATGCCTACATTAGCCATGGTTTACTAGGTTAATGAACTGTGGCGACAAAGAATCACTGCTGTTAAGCTGTAGAGTTGCTCTAGGTCCCTGCATTTGGCTGTCGTATTTCACTGAACTTACTTTGAAGTTGTCATCTCATCTTTTTTTTTTTTTTAAGTTGGCTCCAAGGGTAGATTCTCTTGATGGGACAAAGACCCCTGAGCTGCTTGCATCCTCCGCAATGTTCTTTGCAGACAAATGCTATTCTGTGATTCCTCAGTCCCACTTTGTTAATTTTCCATAAAGCAGCCCATACAATCCCCTTGACAATGCCAGCTTTGGTAATAACGCCTAGTTCTGTGCAGGCCAGGGGTGATGCGTTCATGTTTTCTGGGAAGCAGGATTTGTTAGCGTTGGTGTTTGAAATACAAAAGATCACAGCTCTGCCTCCTGTTCAGCACTGTAGATCCATCCTTTCTTGGTGACAGAGGCTTAGGGGATGAGTCAGTCTTTCAGGCCTTGTCATGAAATTAGTTTCCTTCTTCTGCACTCAGTTTAAACCCTTGTTTGAAATCTTGGAAAATTTAGAAACGTGTCTTGGCATTTAAGAACATTATCTCTGTCTCTTTTCTCTTTCTCTCTCTCTCTCTTTTTTTTTTTAAATTTTTGCCTTAGGCCTAACTCCACCCACCACTCCTCCTCATAAAGCCAACCAAGATAACCCTTTTAGGGCTTCTCCAAAGCCGAAGTCCTCTTGCAAGACTGTGGTGCCACCACCATCAAAGAAGCCCCGGTACAGCGAGTCTTCTGGTACACAAGGCAATAACTCCACCAAGAAAGGGCCGGAGCAATCCGAGTTGTATGCACAACTCAGCAAGTCCACAGTGCTCACTGGTGGACACGAGGAAAGGAAGACCAAGCGGCACAGTCTACGGCTGTTTGGTGACCATGACTATTGCCAGTCAATTAATTCCAAAACGGAAATACTCATTCATATATCACAGGAGCTCCAAGACTCTAGACAACTAGAAAATAAAGATGTCTCCTCTGATTGGCAGGGGCAGATTTGTTCTTCCACAGATTCAGACCAGTGCTACCTGAGAGAGACTTCGGAGGCAAGCAAGCAGGTCTCTCCTTGCAGCACAAGAAAACAGCTCCAAGACCAGGAAATCCGAGCCGAGCTGAACAAGCACTTCGGTCATCCCAGTCAAGCTGTTTTTGACGATGAAGCAGACAAGACCAGTGAACTGAGGGACAGTGATTTCAGTAATGAACAATTCTCCAAACTACCTATGTTTATAAATTCAGGACTAGCCATGGATGGCCTGTTTGATGACAGCGAAGATGAAAGTGATAAACTGAGCTACCCTTGGGATGGCACGCAATCCTATTCATTGTTCAATGTGTCTCCTTCTTGCTCTTCTTTTAACTCTCCATGTAGAGATTCCGTGTCACCACCCAAATCCTTATTTTCTCAAAGACCCCAAAGGATGCGCTCTCGTTCAAGGTCCTTTTCTCGACACAGGTCGTGTTCCCGATCACCATATTCCAGGTCAAGATCAAGGTCCCCAGGCAGTAGATCCTCTTCAAGGTAAACCTTGGCGAAACCCTAATAACACACAAGGTGTTCCTAAGAAGTGAACAAAATAAAATACAAATAAAAATTTGAAATCTGTAGCCATTCCGGCCCCTGACCACTGAAATTCTGGCGCTGCCGGAACTAACGAGAACGATGTTACACTCACATCTCTCTCCATGTTCTCTTAAATCTGTCAGCTCCGAGCACAGTGCCTTGAGCCAGTCCTATCAGAGAGAGTAATTTGTTAAGAAACTTGCTCATCTAACTTTTTCCATTACCTGGAGAGCTGCCCTGTGCCAGGATAGTGGAGATCCATGCAAGATAAAGCTGACAGTGTCCCAGACCTGGTGCTCAGTGTTAACATCAATAAGAGACGCTGAGAGAGAGCACATCACTCCCAGCCCTCTAAGCTGACTAGCTGATCACAAACTGTCACTGGGAAATCTCACTAATAGCTGGGAAGAACAAGCCAGTCTCTGTAACACAGTGTCCCAGAGGATGCTCCACAGTTCCAATAAACTTGGGTTAAGTGGCAGTTGCAAATGCCCTTTTTGTTTTTCTCATCTGTCGCAGATCCTGCTATTACTATGAGTCAAGCCACTACAGACACCGCACGCACCGAAATTCTCCCTTGTATGTGAGATCACGTTCAAGATCGCCCTACAGCCGTCGGCCCAGGTAATGAGGCATGTCATTTTCCTTCGGCTCCCTTTATCCCCTCCTTGAGATGACAAGATGTTCTCCAAAACCCTATACCCCTCCCCATATTATTATTCATTTTGCTTATGCAAATTGAGGTGGTTGACTTAGTGATGAAGTTATGTTTCCCAGGTATGACAGCTACGAGGAGTATCAGCACGAGAGGCTGAAGAGGGAAGAATATCGCAGAGAGTATGAGAAGCGAGAGTCTGAGAGGGCCAAACAAAGGGAGAGGCAGAGGCAGAAGGCAATTGTAAGTGGCCTGGAGCTCACTTTTATTTTGAAGCAGGGTTTCTTCTTTTTCTGTGTGCTTTTTTTGGTGATAGATTAGAAAATAAACAAAAGCTAAGTCTTTGCTAGTTTGTTAGAACAGGCCATTTTCAGCCTTTTGGCTTTAAAATATCCGTAAGTCTTCAGTCCCCGTTGACCTAACTTATTGGAAAACAAAATGTTTAAGTCAGTATATTTCTCACTCACAGTTTCATTTTGAAGTTCGTTACTGTTTTCACCTTCTGTTTGGAAAAATGGAGGGAGCAGAGATTTTTTTTTTTCAGTCAGATATTGGTTCTTTCTGGTCACAGGATGAGTTTTTCTTTCTGTTTCCTGTTACTTCTCTCTTTGAGTGGAAATGAGGAGGGATTGCTATCTTGTTTCAGTTTTTGTCTTTTTGGCCAGCAGGAGACTTAAATTGTCCATGAAGAGACTGAGTTCAAGTTGGATTTAAAAGAGGCAGGGGAGGAAGAGTTGCTAAGAAAGTCATCATTTCTGGCCGGGCGCAATGGCTCACACCTGTAATTCCAGCACTTTGGGAGGCCAAGGCGGTTGGATCACTTAAGGCCAGAAGTTTGAGACCAGTCTGGCCAACATAGGAAACAGGAAATAACATAGGAGACAGGAAACTTTGTCTGTACTAAAAACACACAAATTAGCCAGGCGTGGTGGCACATGCCTGTAATCCCAGCTACTTGGGAGGCTAAGGCAGGAGAATTGCTTGAACTGGGGAGGTAGAGGTTGCAATGAGCTGAGATTGCATCACTGAACTCCAGCCTGGGTGACAGAGTGAGACTCTGTATTTAAAAAAAAAAAAAAAAAGAAAGAAAGTCATCACCTTCTGTGTGATGGTCGCCATCTAACTGGGTAGTTGACACACCCACATTTCTTACGAACTACTTTTCAGTGACATTTTATGGATTTCAGCACCACTTACAAGGAGGTATTATATTCACTTGACATAGAGACAGTGCTGACCCTTCTGTGTAAAGATCCAGGTTATGTTATATTTATTTGCTCTCTGAAGATCAGTACTCATTTTCAGCAACTGCTGACTAGTAGGTAGGCTTTACCCCAGCTCCCTACTGCTGTTTATCAACCTAGACTTTGGATGGCAAAAATAAGGCAGTCCAGTTGTCAAAATCCAGCCCATGCCCATGCCCATGGCAGACATTCCTAATCGATAATGGAACTCTTTTCCATTGAGCCCCTTCAGAGCCTTACGATCTTTTCTGACATGGTGCTCTAGGGAACCATGACTAATCAATGAGATATAGCACCGCTTTTATTCAGTGCAGCTGCTGCCTGTCTGTGCTAGCCACCCAGAGTTAGCTCGGTGAAGATCAGCTTTTGACATATCTTGCATCTAAGCTAGCCACGGCTTAGGGAAATGATTTTTGACTGTAAAGGTTAGATTTATATGTTATCTTTAAGAAAACTCACTAACATCAACACAACTTTGCAAAACCTATATAAAAGAGCTGACTAATGGAATCAAAATCAAGCATTGGCCAACAGTTACCAGCTGGAGGATAAAGGTTAAATGAGAGATTTGCTTAACACAGGCATTTAAGGAGAAAGAAGGGAGAAGTAATTGAACACTTCGGCCAAAGTTTTGGAGGGTTTGCTGCCATTTAACTTTGAATCTACCTAAGACTGAATCAAAGGCATTTTGCAAATTACAACAATTTGCCACATTTTTCTCAACTTCCAAATGAGCAGTGATATTAAGATTTGCCAAAGTGTCATTAGTTAACACTTATGAAGACTAATGAAAATTAAAATTCAATTTTTCTAATGTCACTATATTTAATTAATGGTGTATTCAATAATTATAATAACTCACATTTATATAGAGCCATATAATTTACAAAGCCTTTTAATATGGCACATTATAATCATTACAAAAGAAAATCATGCTGAGCAAGCATGTAGGAAAATGACTATTTTGGTGTTTGCAAATTTATATATTATAAAATCCTTCATTTTTTCCCTCAAAAATAGGACATTAAAGAGAAAGATTAATAGTTTCATCATAAATTTGCTTATATGGCCAAGACACAACATAGTTATAACTAAAGCCAGATTAATATTTTAATCAAAAGTATGTAAATAAATGACATGTATTTATTTTATACCTTCTAAAGATGACTAAGTGCCAGATATTAACAAAGAAAGGAAGGGAGGTGTCTTTTTTGTTGCTAGTTTGATCCTTTACAAATAGAGCAAGTAGTGTCATTGGTCTAGATGAAACAAAAGCACCCTGAGGGTGACCAGCCTCAGCTTGGAAGCAGATGCTACCCTATTGTTCCTTTGTGTTACAAATGTTGACTAGTTCCTCTGTTAATTCTTAGATGAAAATAATCTGTATCAATTCTCTTCCAAAGCACACTTGTAATACAAGTGTCAACTTGGTTTGTATTAAATCATTTTACATTAACTAGACATTTGTGAGAATTTTGACTTTAAAGTTCATTTTTCTTTTTGAAAAGTAGATTGAAGGAAACCTAGAACATAGAGATTGTTTACTAACAGAGTGAACTATAAGTGATAAGTGCTTAATAAAGATTTGGGACTTACTGTTTAACCAATTTCCACTTGGATAATTACATGCTATTTCTATTGAACATGAGTGAAAACTCATAGCTCTTTCTGTAATAAATATCTGCCATGTGGTTGGGATATAAAATTAGGAAAGACATGGCCCCTGTATCCAAGGAACTTCAACTCTACTGGCAGACAAAGATACACAAACTGGCAATACAGTGTGATAAGTGCTATTATAAGGGGTGCATCTGTGGCACTGTTGTGGTAGTATACTAGGGGGCACCCAGATCTGTGTATGAAGGAGAACCTCAGACAGGGTGAGATTAATCCAGATCCTAAAGGGAGAAAGGACAAAGGTTTTCTCCCCCTGCAGTGTCCAACATGGTAGCCTTTAGCCACATGGCTAATTTGATTGGGTTATATTACGATGTACTGTGTGATTGGATTTAGAAGACTTGGTATAAAAAATAGTGTAAAATACTTCATTAATCTTTTTATATCAATCACAAAATGATATAATAGTTTGGACATGTTGAGCCCAATACAATATATTATTAACATTGAATAATGTTAATAATATTTTTACTTTTTTTTCATATTTTTACTTTTTTAAATGTGGCTCTTAGAAAATTTTAAATGACATATACTACACTGTATTACTACTGGACATTGCTGTTTTAGACAGAGGCTATAGCTTATACTAAGTCTCTAAAAACGAATAAGGTATATGGAGAAACTACTAGTCATTTAATTAGAACACTGAGACACAAGAGGGGCAAGAAATAACTCTAGAGGGAACAGTGGAAGGTAGCATAAAGGGTCGTATAATTCATACTAAAGATTTTGAAATCTGTCTTGAAGGCATCGTGGAACTATTTAATGAGTTTACCCACATGAATTTTTTTGGATTGATTTCCTTCCTCCAAATGGTTGGCTTTCCAGCGCCATAATGCATCCCCAAAGTATATTTTTATGGACTTGAGTGCAGGGATACATGCAATGATTTTTAACTGATTTGAAAAAATTAACTTGAGAATTCATACATGGAAGAGCTAAGGGAATGAGGACAGTCCAGACCTAAGTTGGTCAGGTAGGTGATGTTCTTTCAATTTTTGAAACACCCTTAAAGTAATGAGTAAGAAGTAAATTACATCTAAGATATCTTGGGTGCAGTGTTGGGTTATCCATTAATCAAAGCAATCATATATTTAGGGAACCAGAAAAACAGAGGCTCCAAAAGGCAATGAAAAAAAAAAAAACACTTTAGAAATTTAATAATTGTTATCTTACAAAATTAAAGGCATCTTTATAAACCTTTGTCTGCATTACTTCTATTTTGAGTTCCATAAGTAGGAGGTGTTTTAGGAAATCTGTAAACTTTTCATTGCTTATGTTTCTAAAATCCTAATTCAGCCCAAGTTGAGTGAACCAAATCCAAAAGCAAAGAGAATGCTAATAATTAGTAATTACCAATGCAAAACCATATATTGTGGTTGAATGTTACCATTGTTTCGGTTGGCACTTTCCTTTAATTTCCATCCAGACTCTTTCTCAAAAAGCAATTCACTTTCTGCCTTTCTCAGACTCATAAGCTTGAAATAATTCAGGTTATATTGGGACTCTGCAAGCCAGAGTTTAGTACTTAATGTCTAAACTGTCACTGCTCTAATTTCTTGTGGAGTTCTAAGTCCAACTCCATTTGCAATCTGTACAGTTTTCTGCCAGAAAACATGATAATGGGATGTTAATTTAAAGGGCAAATCTAGACATTATGATACGGCTCAGCACTTAAAACCAAAACCAGATGTGCTCGGGCAGCAATGACTGCTACTTTACTTCTCAGTTGGTCAGTGTCCAGCTCAGAAGCCAGGGACAGTGTATTGCTACTGATAATTATAAACTTCTTCCAAATGGAATGAAAAGAAATTGTGCAATTACTCAGAGTTCTTCCTTTTTTTTTTTTTTTTTTTTTGGGACAGAGTCTCACTCTGTCGCCCAGGCTGGAGTGCAGTGGCGCAATCTTGGCTCACTGCAAGCTCCGCCTCCCGGGTTCACGCCATTCTCCTGCCTCAGCCTCCCAAGTAGCTGGGACTACAGGCACCCGCCACCACGCCTGGCTAATTTTTTTGTATTTTTAGTAGAGATGGGGTTTCACTGTGTTAGCCAGGATGGTCTTGATCTCCTGACCTCATGATCTGCCCTCCTTGGCCTCCCACAGTGCTCAGAGTTAATCTTTTTTGGAGAAAATGAGATAGCTTTCTATTCAAGCCTCTTTAAAGAGATATTTTATGTGGGTGAGTATATGTTATATTATGACTCTAAGTTCAATATTTAGAAATGTTCAGTTTTATGGCAAGATGAATAAATTCTAGAGATCTGTTATACAACATAGTACCTATAGTTAACTATGCTATTGTACACTTTAAAAATGTTGAG